GAGAATATCATGGACAGCCAAGAAAAGAAATCAACCCAGAGTTGTCACTTGAGGCACAAAAGACTAGGATATATTATGAAAAATATATTCTTAGACTTAACTCTTTGGAGAAGGTTGTGATTCCAGGAAAGATGGAAGAAAAGAGGAAAAGAAGACGATCAGCAGCAAAGTGGATAGACTCAGTTGTAGTGGCAAATGGTCACCATTGGAAGACCTGATAGACCATTTTAGGGACATGGGGAAAAAAATCTCTTGTCTATGAGATTGCTAAGAGTCCACACTGACTTGATTACTCATAACCAACCTCTTAATAATAAACAGCCTCTGCCCTGTTTCTCTCTTTTGCTGAGAAATTGTTGAGAGCTGAAACAATGTAATAAAACACAGGGTCCTTTATAATAGGTGATTTCCCTCCAGTTTGATGCACTGTGGAGCAATTAGAGGTTTTCACTGAGAAGCTGATAGTGAGAATTGGACTAGTAATGGAAATCAAATGAGGAAAGTCTATGAAATCCACAGAAGGTAGAGAGAAAAGCAGGAATGCTTCAGTCAGCATCTTTGAAGCTGCAAATTTATTGACTGCTGTCTGAATCACTTTTCATTTAAAAAAAATATCTTCAGAGCCAGAAGCATTTTTTTTTAAGTTCAAGTAATTTACACAATGCAATAATAGAATTCTTTGTTCAGGTCAGTTCTCTTTTATTCCTTATTGTAAATATTCACAAGTGTGTGATGCTGTAGACATTGGCAGTGCTATTAGTCACACATTCTAAATGATCATGTTTTACATGATAGAAGCAAATCCAACATGAGAATATTATGCATAAAACTGTCATCTGTGAATAAGCTCTATAATTTTTTTCAGCACCTAATCATAAAAGACAAATTACACCTTTTATCACGTGTGACTGTCCTGGCATGATTAACTTTTTATCACAATATTATTTTTCAGGTTATGGAAATGTTGCTCCAAAAACTTCAGCTGGGCGACTTTTCTGTATCTTTTATGGACTTTTTGGTGTTCCACTCTGCTTAACATGGATCAGTGCTTTGGGGAAATTTTTTGGTGGTCGTGCCAAGAGGCTGGGCCAGTTCCTGACAAAGAGAGGAGTAACCCTGGTATGGAATTCTGTTTAATTTGCTTCCAGCACATGAAAATTATTGGAATTATATGTAATCCAATTTAAGGAAGGATTCTCTAGCATCTTTAAATCCTAACTAATAGTTAATGTGATTTTTAAAAAATCCATTCTCAAGTTCCACACTTTGCCCCTGGATAAAAATGCTAAAAAAAACCCCCAAAAAAACATAATTTCTATTAAAGGCATAATTCTTTATAATTTTGGATTTTTTGCCCAGAACTGCCACTAAGTTTTCTGTATTAACTGTTTTATAGCAAGGAATTTGATGAGTGGAACACTATCATCTCTAATGTAAGAATGCAGAATACTATCTAAAACAAATCTGCTTAAATTGTACGTGTCATTTTCTTGCTCCTGTATTAAAACTATGTGATTTCATAGGATTTTCACTTTTCCTTTCTTTTAAATTCCCTAGATTTGAGAATTCTGCTTTCTCAACTAGACAGATGTTCTGCCCATCTTATGCAACCTCTGCATTTTGCTATGTCAGTTATTTGTTTCCTGTTCCTTGGTGCTGTTTATAGCTTCCTTGACTAATAAGAAAGCTGAATGTAAACCAGAATAAGCTAACAATTTAGATTTTAGTGCAACATTCACCCAGTCAGTATCATAATGCCCTGATGTAAATCGATGTTGCAGCTGCATCTGGTATATTATGTCTGGCTCTGGTCACCAGACTTCAAAAAGGATATAGTATAGTCAGAGAAAGTTAAGATCAACTGAAATGATCAAGGGGCCATAGCTGCTTCTCTATGAGGCTTTTTCATTTAGAAAGGAAATGAATAAGAGGTGACATAACTGAGGTGCACAAAATTTTGAATGGTGTTAATAAAGAGAACAAGATACTATGTTCCCTTTGCCAAAATATAGGAACTAGAGTTCTTATATTTTCGCAAAGGGAACATAGTTTCTTGTTGTCTCCTTTATTCGCACCATTCAAAATTTTGTGCACCTCAATTATGTTACCTCTCATTCATTTCTTCATTCACCCAGTGAAATTGAATCAGGGCAGACAAAAGGGTTTGTTTTTTAAACATAACACTTTATCCTTCTTTGGAATTTGGGATGATATGATGACTACCAGCTTGGCTACTTAAAAAAAAAATGCTGGACCAATTCATAAAAATCATGAGAATCAGAGACTTTGCATCTGAAGGCCATCTCCTGGAAACCAGCAGTCTCCTTGTGCAATTGAGTGGCCATAGTGAGAATACACTGCTGAACTAGATTTGACAGAGGTCCATTCCAGCAGGGCAATGCTAATGTTCTAGGCCTGAATATTGTTTTAACAGATCATATTTTATATGGTTATAGTCTTGGAAAATGCATCTGGTATGTCATTTTTTCAGTTATGAAATGTGTTACAGAGCCTCTATAGCAGGGGTGTCAAACTGCCAGCCCGCGGGCCGGATGCGTCACGCGGAAGCTGCGCCCACCCCATTGCCAGCAATGGCAAAGCAGTCCTGATACGTTGCGCGACGTCACGTCACGTCGCGAGTTTGACATGTCTGCTCTATAGGGAAATTAGAAATTATAAAAGTGTTCTGAAAAGGACATTTTTCAAGGAATTTCTACAGTTTATTATTATAGTTGGTGGAGTAGGAGAACACTTCATCAAGCAAAAATGACATGTTATTTATCTACCATATAGGACTTCGTGCACACACATGAAACAGGAAGTAAAGTAGAAATTTTCAACCTTGTTTCCATCTGCACAAAATAGCCAAAAATAATAGCAACTTCCTATAGCTTACAGTTAGTTATTCTGTTGTTGCTGTAAGATAGTATATCAAAAAATATGACAAGATGGACTTTCTAAATATGGGCAAAAATCTACTAAATGTAGATTGCACTGTATGATTGATCCTTCTTCCTTCCATTTATTACAGAGAAAGGCACAAATTACTTGCACAGCTATCTTCATCATTTGGGGCATTCTAGTCCACTTAGTTCTTCCTCCCTTGGTTTTTATGGTGACTGAAGAATGGGATTACATTGAAGGCCTCTACTTCTCATTCATCACCATCACCACAATAGGATTTGGAGACTATGTTGCTGGTCAGTAATAAACCTGTCATTTGAATAGCTTCTAATGTGCATATTTTGTGAATATGTCTTTAAAGATTTTAAAACATGCAAATAGAAATGAGCAGTACTACAAGTAATTACAATTAAGATTAAATAATATGTTGGCCTCTGTGCTATGCAGAGACTCAAGACAAAAAAGAGGGAAGGATAAGATGAAAAAAAATTATCTCAGAGAACAACCATGAAACTGTGTGTATTTGCTGTTCTGCTTCCTCTAAGACAGATGATATCTACAATGCTTTCATTGTCTAAACTTATGAGTAGCCTGACAAATAAATAAGCCTAGATTGTAGAATGTTATTTAATATTTGTGTGTGTTTGATGTTGAAATAATCATCAGTTAGAAGTAATTCTGACTGTATAATCATTTAGTTAACAAACTTTGAATGTTTTTCTTTGTAATTTTCAGAGTAGACTGCTATCAGCTTAGTATCTGAGCCTCATTTGATTACTGAGGTCACAGAAAGGGGATAAGCTAGACTTCTAGAGATTTGCTGAAACTTCCTGTAAATGTGCCATAAGCACAACTTATCCGTGAAAATGTTGAGTTTTTAGTAATGATAACAAATTTCTGGATCAATGGAACACCTACAGATGTACAGTAGCTGAATTTATATTTCTTGCACTGTCTTTTTTTTCTCTTTTTAGGTGTGAATCCAAACATGAACTATCACTCCCTCTATAGATACTTTGTGGAGGTGTGGATCTACCTAGGCCTTGCTTGGCTTTCACTGTTTGTCAATTGGAAGGTCAGCATGTTTGTAGAAGTTCACAAAGCAATCAAGAAACGAAGGAAAAAAAGAAAAGAATCCTTTGAAAATCACTCTCCCACCAAAAAAGCTCTTCAGATGTCTAACACAAAAGATATCAACATATTCAGTTTCCTTTCCAAAAAGGAAGACAGTTACAATGATCTCATTAAGCAGATTGGAAAGAAGGCTTTGAAAACAAGCAGTGACAAAATTCTCAACTCAGAGCAAACCAAGCCAACCTTACAACATACCAATAAAGATCTCAAAGTGATGTACACAAAGAACAATATGTTTGACTATGACAAGGTTTCTCTTGGACTGCAGAACTATCACGTGATGAGGCATTTGACTGACAAGCGTCTTGGGGATAGCCCGGTTGAGGGCAACGTGTTTGTAAATCAGCTGGACCGGATCAGTGAAGAAGAAGGGGAAGCATGGGATTCGCGGGATTATCGACCTTTGATTTTTGAAAATGCCAACATAACATTTGTAAATGAGAATGAGGATGAAGAGGACGACCTTTCAGATGATGAAGAAACTTCAAAGTCTTCAGTGGATGACAATCTTGCACAGGAGCCTCAAACCCCAGAGAAACTGGTGAAATTTTCATCCTCTGATGAATCTACTTTTACCGGTAATGAGATGGAGATATCAGTGCCTTATGAACAGCTTATGAATGAGTATAACACAGCAAATACTGCCAATGCTGCAACGTGAGAAAGGTGGGAGGGAGTTTCTTGAAATCATATGATGCAAATTTTTAATAGATACAGTAATGATCTGAATCAACAACCATAAGTGAAGAAGAAGGAATATCCTATGAGATATTTTCCGCTACTGTCTTCTATTAGCTGACTGAAAACGCGTGTTGCCTGGATCTTGTCTATTGGTGAATTTTACTCACCATGAAATAATTGTTCTAAAACCTTGAAGGTTCTCTAGGGATTTGATGGTTCTTGATTTAAGAGAGGAAAAGCCTAAACTTATTGGGCCTGCCCGTTCTTTCTTTCTTTCTTTCTTTCTTTCTTTCTTTCTTTCTTTCTTTCTTTCTTTCTTTCTTTCTTTCTTTCTTTCTTTCTTTTTCTTTCTTTCTTTTTCTTCCTTTTTCTTTCTTTTTTTCTTTCTTTCTCTCTCTCTCTCTCTGTCTCTCTCTCTCTCTTTCTTTCTTTCTTTCTTTCGAGTAAAGTTCTTAAGATTGCAGTCAGACTGGGTTTGGGTTGATTGCAGGCCATGATTGCATTGGATTACTGCACTAACTCTTCAGCTCTGAAGAAACTGAATACAAATCATGCCACGGTTCAGAGGAGAAATTATTGATAGATTTATCATAATCACAAAACTCTCTTCATTCTCCTTTAAGGAATGCTTGAACTGGAAGAGCAAAGTATTCTGAAGGCCAGAGTTGAGATACATGGGTGGCTTGACTAATGTCTGTCTAAGTTAATATAGCTCTGTTGAATTATGAGCTGAAGTTCATTAACAAAAATACTAACTTGAAACACAGGATCAATCTACTGGAAGTATGGATCTTGTATGGACAAGAAGCTGAATATTTCCAAATGTTCTCAGTGTTTATGAAAAACACATATAACTGATTGAAATAAGTAAAACAGAATGGTGCAAGAAGATACATAAGAGGACATTTAAAAATGAAGAAAAGCACAGTGACAAACTTCTCTTTTGCATCAGAAGTGCTCTTTCACCATCCATACTCTATACTTGAATGAACTTCATTTATAGGTCTAAGTGAAGTTTAAAGGAACTCTGCTTTTGAATCAGTGTATTTTATTGAATAGGTTGAATAGCTGAAGTTCCATTTGAAGGATTTAATAACTATTTTCTTCTTTGTTCTGTCAGTGGCTCCATTTCTATAAAGTTTTCCACTCCATCCAGTACTTTTGAGTTGGTAATATTGTGTTATGAGCTGAAATACCACTGTAGTATTTCAGCTGGCTTTCTAAATAAGGTATTAGCTTATTTTTAATGAACTCCCTTAACACAAAAGAAGTAATATGAGAAGTATTACAGAAGTAACAAAATGTAATTGTCACATCAAAATTTATCTTTTTATATTGCTATGAAACTGTCACAATGATTGGGATTATTTTTAAAGTAGAAAACTGCCTCTGATTTGTAACTTTCTACTGAAAAACAATTCTCAATAATATTCTAGCAGTATAAGTACTGGAGCTACTTGTATGATTTACACTCCAGTGTAAATCTTTTATGTTATAGTTTGGTGGCTTCAGTCTGGAAATGGAATGAAAATTATGGCGACTGAAAACGTGGGGAGAGGATTTCGGAATTGAAAATGGTAATAAGGCCAAGTGGAATTTTGCGGTACTAATTGTGAATAATAACATTCAAATCCACTCAATTGCTGTAATTTTGACTATGTTGTGAGAGTGGATGTATTCTATTATCTTTAGAAACATGTCTCTAACTAGATGAACACTCCTGTTAGCAAACTCTTCTTGAAAAGACAGTTTTAAAATATTTGCTGAAAAAAAGTCCATTCCTGTTTTGGATTGTATACAGTTTGTGCAGAAATGTTTGTAGAAACTTGATTACTAAGAAACCCAACAGTTGTATTTTCACACAGTTATTTCATTGAAGGTTCCAGTGTTACCCTTTGGAGGCTATTCTTGTTACTCACTAAAACATGGTAGCTATTTTGACTAGATGGTTCCTTGAAAGACAAGGTTGATTTTTATTGCTATACAGTAAACCATCTTTATCATCAAACAACTCAAAGACCCAGAGATGCTGCCTTAAATTTACATTTCTAATTGAGCGGTTCTTAGTAATGAGTACCACTTGTGTCATGTGTAAGTGACAAAACTATATATGGAGATCCTGAAAGTAACTTTTTTAAGCTGATGTATTCTGGGATATATTTCATAAATGAGTGGCTAAAAGTTTGCCTCTGCACTAAAGAAGCACACAGTAGTGTGTAAAATGAATGTTATTAAAGTTTTACAACATTTTAAATACAGTACAGGAACAGAAAGGTGAGAATGCACAATATGTGTATGTTGCTGCTTTTAGGGTGACTGTTGTGTTGGATTGTTTAGGTGCTGGATTGCACAGGTAGACAGATGTGAAATGATACAAGTTTGAAACAGCTTGCATCTAGAAATAAGGTCCTTTCTAAAATTCAAGCTTGGTGCTGCTCTTCAGGTTTGATGCACAGGGTATTAACACCTTCCTTTAAAAGTGCCCCATAAATCTAGGGATTTGTCTAGCTGTCAAATAAGCATCATGTTTTTAAATTTGAAATCAAGATAAACGTGATAGCTAGACTTTGATTTGCTATTTGGGGGAAGATCTCATTAGTGGAGATTTATTCCAAGTGCTTGGACCATTGACAAGAGCCTTAATTCTTAATAATTCCATTTTGTGCCTTGCTACAGGTGAAAGGACAAAATGTACTTACTCACTGTGACTAGCAAAAAAGATGTATGAAATGTTTTATTAGCTGCATAATGTCTTCAATTGCCCTTTATCTGAGTACAGTTTTCCAGCAGGCATTACATGGTGGTAACTTGGCCCTCCCTATTAGAGAATTGATCTTCCTTACTGATAGGAAATATTGTCTTCCATGTTTTAAGAGAAGCTAGATTTTTTGTTCTGAGTCTTTATTTATGGCCTTGGACAAATAAATTGAAGATGATGACAAAGGAGACAATTTTTGTACTGACTGTGGAATTGGATGAAGTAACTATTAAAAAAACCCCATTCATTCAGAAAGGAGGTACAATAGTAGTTGGAGTATCTTTGATTCTCTGGCTCCTTGACTACATTTTGGAAAGAATTTGCATAAAATGAAATACTCTGGAATGTAAGATTTACAAACCACTACTGCTTTTTTTATTGAAGAGGGAGGAGTGTACAGTTTAACAGAGCTAACTAGATTAGCTTTGGGCTCATGTTATGTAGCTGTTTACAGAAGACATTTTAAAAAAATTGTTGCTAGCTATCAAAAGCACCAGAGCATCAATGGTATTCATACGTTTCAATACAAGAGGGAGGGGCTTTCCCTATTTATCTCTATAAACTGTTGATCATGAAGCCTTAATACTGCTTTCTCTGTTTTTCCCTATAACCAATATTGTGAATTGGGTCAGAAAAACCTAGAACCTAGCTAGGTAAACTTCACTGTGTTGTTGTTGGAAACTAAAATTGTTTCAGAAGTTGAAGCAATGAGATGAGTTCTTCATATTACTCAGTAGAATTTTCCCATAACCACAATTAATTAAACCTGGTAGTATTTCCTGGGGTTGTTTCCAATAATTACCGTATATGGCAAAATGATAAAGAATGGAAACTATTCTTACTATTGATTTCCAAGTATATTTAATACAAAACTGATTCACAGTTTCCGTAACAGGTTTATGTAAAGCACGTACTACTCATACTTACTTTAAAATGTGCCGTTGAAAGAACAGAGTATAGTACTCTGTTAAGCAAGAGTGAAACATTTTGAAAAAGGTTCTCTTTCTTTGCAGATACGATTAACTCCATTGCTGGCAATGGATATATCAAAACATAACAAAATCACATCCCATTCTTCTTATTGTTTTCTATCCCTAAATGTGGCCTGGTTTATCTCTTTCATTTATAGGATGTTACCCTTTGCATCTTGTTTTAATTGGAAATAAAAAACAATTCATAAAAATTCCTATTGAGACATAAATTTTGCCTACCAGTTTGACCTATCTTTATTTTTTACATCTTCTGTGTTGCACTGAACTCCTAGAATTAAGGCATCACTGTTTCAAATAGTTCACAAATTCTGTATAGTCTTGAACTCATCTCTATCACTCCCATCATATAAAGAGACACAAGGTTTTTTTTTATCTGTTCTTTTTGCTACTTTGTCACTGGAATCACTGTATGTAAATACTAGACTTTATAAAATGTAATTTATTTTAACATTTTTTCAATAAAAATGAAGATTTTTTTTAAAAAAAATACCCAATGTCTTCATTCTTTAAGGGACTAGATGAGAAATGAACTGTAATGGCTTTCTTCCATTTAATTAATATTTTGTTGAAAGTTAGCATTGACATTGAACATTCATAAAATACATGTTTAAAATGTACTTTGTAATTATATGGTATAAAATGTACACCATATAATTGGACAGAAGTCCATTTTGTCATAAATAACATAATTAAATGGCTGTTTGAAGGGGGCATGCTCTATATTTGTGATAAAGTTTGGGATTTTCACTATAGTATTGGCTAACATAACCATTATCACTTAGTCCTCACCTACTCACTACAATTGGAACCAGCAATTCCATCACTAAGCAGCACAAACTGAAATGTGCCCTGACTATGATTGACTTATGATGTCAGTTCTGCTTCTGGTTTTTAGGTGTGATGTCACAAGTGATCAGCACTTGTGACTTCTTGCCAGCTTCCTAATGCTGGTTGGAAGCTGGCTGTGAAGGTCACAAATGGTGGTCACATGACCATGAGACACTGCCACTGTAAATGCACATTATTTGCCAAATGCCTGAATTGTGAATACATGATCATAGGGATACTGTGTCAGCCTCAACTTCATAGACCAGTTGTAAGTCTCCTTTTTAGTGCCATCATAACTTCAGTTGTTGAATGGTTGGTAAGCAACAACTCCCAATATCTCAAAGCAGGAAAATATTACTAAAATGCATTGACTAACCACTGCTTGCAAAGCATGTTATTTACAGCTCACCTTTCCTCCAGGAACTCAAAGCCAGTATACATAGAATCATCTCCATTTTTTTCTCCTCAACAACCCTATGAGGTATATTGAGCTGAGAAAGACTAACTGATCCAAAGTCAACTTCCATGGCA